TGACGCTTCTCAACAGGATCTCACTATGTACCCTGTCTGGCTGTCCTCTACACAGATCAGGGGTGCCTCAAACTCAGAGATTCACCTGCCTATGCCACTGCGTGAGCTCTAACGTCCAACTCCCAGTAAGTTTTCTTATAATGCAGAGAGAAGAGTGAGCCCAGAGGGGCTTTGTGTGTGTGTCGTTTCTGTCCCTGGAGAAAGCTTTTTGAAGGGCATGAAGATCAGGTTCCCCCACTGCTGTTTGCAGCAGGCTTTGTGGGGGAACATTCATGGACAAATATCGCCCCCTCGTGGCTGAGAGCAGTATTGCCCCGAAGAGCAAGCCGGCCTACTGATAAACACAGACTGCACGGGGCTAGAGGCCTGAGCTTTCCTCATTGACAGGTGATCAATGAGGAAAATGTATGAACATGCACACGCATATCCATCTAGTCAGGAGGTGTCCCAAAGGCATTCAAATATCACGATTGTTCATGAAAGCAAACTACATGTTCCTCACATTATTTTTTTACTGTTGTTATTAATAGGAACAAATGTAACACATCTATTTTTAAAAAAAGAGTCCAAGTGGGATGGTGAGAAGGCTCAGTGGGTAAAGGTGCTTGCTGTGTAGGGATGACAACCTGAGTTTGATATCTGGGACCCACAGTAGAAAGAAAGAGCCTACTCCCCAAAGGGGGACCTGTGCAAGACCAAGACAGCATCCTCATGGGTGTGTGGGCGCGCGCGCACGCCCACACACACACACAGAATATTACCAACCCCCAAACACACAAAGGTCAGAAGCAACAGAACATGGCCCAAGGGAGTACATGAATGGAAGCCAGGCTGCTGAGATGTGAGCTGACACTAGCCTGTGAACCGCCAGGCCGCTTCCAGCTTCCAGCTTCCAGCTGCCTTCCAAAATGGGCTGGGATTCCAGATGAATGGCTGCCCACTAGACCTCTCTGTGTTCTTTAGCTTCCTTCGGCTCACACACCTGCCAAGGGGAGGGGCTGCCTTCACTATGTGGTCCTGAATTTCCCTGGGTCTCCAAAGTATATGTAATGTATCTCTCCTACAAAGTTACAAGAAGATTATAAAACTATAAAAATGTGCTGTTGCGGCCGGGCGTTGGTGACACATGCCTTTAATCCCAGCACTCGGGAGGCAGAGGCAGGCGGATCTCTGTGAGTTCAAGACTAGCCTGGTCTACAGAGTGAGTTTCAGGACAGTCAGGACTGTTACACAGAGAAACCCTGTCTTATAAAAAAACAAAAGTTCTGTTGCAAAAGTGTGTGTGTGTGTGTGTGTGTGTGTGTGTGTGTGTGTGTATGTTAGATGAATATAGGGCGGGGGCCGGTGAGATGGCTCAGTGAGGGAACACTGCTTGTTACACAAGTCTGATGACTTGAGTTTGATCCTTGACACCTATGTAAAAAAACCCTATGGGGTGGTGTGCAAACATCTATAAATTCCAGAGAAGACAAGAGGCAGAAGACAGGAAGGAGGCTCGGGGCCATTTAGTTTGGGTCCACAAGCCGAGAAGAGACAAAAGACACCCTCCTTAACAAGGGGGAAGAACCAGACCCTAGAAGTTACCTTCTGACTTCTGCATGTGCTACGAAGCATGTGTGCCTTCTTTGTCAGACACATAAACACACAAAGATACACAGACACACACAGATACACACACAAAGATACACAGACAGATACACACACAGAGATATACATACATGCACAGATATACACACACAGATAGACATACACACAGATACACACAGAGATACACACACAGATAACACAGATACACACACACACACACACACACACTAAATAAAAACAACACGTAAATGAGCTAAACTGAAATGAGCTTGCTCAAGTTCAGCTGTACACCGAGTCTTGAGTCTAGGTTGTGAATGTTAGTCAGAGCCCAGTCAATGCAGGAACCAAGGCCAGGCTTCCATGACCAACCCTCATCAGTCCCTATCAGCATCAGTTTGGACGTTCAGAGGGCATCTTGGATCAGAGGGCTCGAGTCACTCTTCCATCAGGGTGGACCTGCTGTGGCACAGGGCCAGATACAGTAAAAGGGCAGGGCACTGACTTCTGATGCGTGGAGTCCTGTCATCTGGGTCAGGGTGACAGAGCTTGGGAGGTCTCTGGTCTGTGGCATCTTCCATGGAGCTGGGCACTGAGGGGATTCTTGATTTCTTGTCTTCGTTCTCACTATGTGGCCCAGCCAGGCCTCGAACTCGTGGTCCTCTTACTTCAGCTCTTGAGTTCCATGATTACACTGTGTATCATCATGTCTGGCTCCTAGCAATTTTTCTTTTCTTTTCTCTTCTCCTCCTTCCCGCCCCGCCCCCTGCACCTCTTTCCCTTCTTTTGGACACAGGGTCTCTCTATGTAGCTCTGGCTGGCCTGGAACTCACTATGAAGATCAGACTGGCTTTAAACTCAGAGATCCACCTGCCTCTGCTTCCCTGGTGCTGGGACTGCAGGCAGGCCACCACACCCAGCTCTCAGCAAGGAGGCACGGGCTATGGGCTTTTTATAGGGTGTCTCTGAAAGCTCCCTCTGGAGTGGGTCAAGTCAAGGATGAGCCTGGAATTGCCCACAGACTCCCAGTGGGGTGTCCCAGGGACGGGCCACGAATGCAGAGTCTCCGTGTGCACTGCACCCGTGGATCACTGCCAAGTGTGGTTTCCCACCAGGCCTCCCCACAGTTTGTGGAATCACTGTTTGAATCTGAGACATCCTCCTAAGGCTCAGGTTCCAAATGTCCAGTCCCTGGCCTGTGCTGCTGGCTTTATATATATTTTTATATGTGCATGTGTGGATGGGCAGGACACATGAGTGTCAGAGTGTCTGAGAAAGTCAGAAGAGGGCATCAGGTGGCTGTCAGCTGCCCCATGTGGGTGCTGGGAACCAGTTCCAGTCCTCTGTAAGAGCAGGGAGAGCTCTAACTGCTGAGCCATCTCTCCAGGCTCGCATGGTGTTATCTTGAAGGCTGTGGAGTTTTTAGGAGGTGATCCTGGCTGGTGGAAGCAGGTCACTGGCAGACCTCTGAGGACCATACCCACCCTGGTCCCAGGCAACCTTCCATGCCCACCACCATATGAGAAGTCTCTGCCACACACCCCTGCTACCCTGAGCTCTGTCCTGCCTTCCCTGCCACGATGAACTGAATCCTCTAAAGCACTGCTTCTCACCCTTCCTGACACTTCCATCCTTTAACACAGTTCTTCAAGTTGTGGTGACCCCTGACAGTAACAGTATTTCTTTGCTACTTCATAACTGTGACTTTGCAACTGTTATGAATCATCATGTAAATATTTGATATCTAGTAGATATCTGATATGTGACCCCCGTAAAAGGGTCATTTGACCCCCCTAAAGGGGTGGCAGCCCACAAGTTGAGAACCATTGGTCTAAACCATGAGCCTAAACAAACCATGCTTTCCTTTAGATGTTTTCTGTTAGGGATGTTTGTGTGTGTGTGTGTGTGCGCGCGCGCGCGCTGTTGTGTGTGTTTAGGTCACCATGAAGGCCAGAAAAGGGTGTCAAGTCCTTTGGAGCTGAGTGACAGGTGGTTGTAAGCCAATCAGTGTGGGTCCTGGGACCCAAACTGGGGTCCTGTACACGAGTAGCAAGTGCTCTTACCTGAACTGTGTCTCCAGCCCTGTCAGGGATTTCGGCCAAGGAATTAGAAAAGTAATTCACACTCGTGGCTCCCTGCTTTCTCTCCCAGGCAATGGAGGAGGGCAACCTTGGAAGATAGGGCTGGTTTCTCCTGCCCAGTGGCAGCCAAGCTGTCCATCAGACCCTCCTGTACATAGACACTTTCCCTCAGACCCTCTAATGCTACTTAGCACACCAATGGGTCCCGCCTACGTGTGTCTGACTGCAACAGGAGACTTACCTGGATTGCTTTTCCCTCTTCTGATCTGCTTGGAGTGTCTCTCCCAGTAACGACATGGCCTAGTTTTCCCTCCAAAAGATCTTGAAGCCAACGGAGGGTACCTGAGCGTGCTGTGACGTTGTTTGGCATGGGGGCCACAAGCTTCTCCAGCGCTCTGCTTGACGTTCCTCGCAGGGTTAACGCTCACAAAGTCCCCAATTCGAGGTAGATTCTTTGGTCTTAAACATATAGAACATTCAAATGTGACCTATGACCGCAAGGTCCACGAGTAAGTTCTTCCCCTTCTGGGCCCACTGAGCAACTATGAAGCACAGCACAACAATGAGATGTAAATTGGTGTGATTTTTCTATTTGTGTTTTTTACTTTTTATTTTTGAGACAGGATTTCTCTGTGTAACAGTCCTGGCTGTCCTGGAACTCACTCTGTAGCTCAGGGTGGCTTCAAACTCATTGAGATCCACCAGCCTCTGCCTCTCAGGTGCTGGGATTAAAGGCGTGCACCACCACCACCGCCGCGCTCATAGTGAATTCTAATACAGCCAGGGCTACCCAGAGAAACCCTGACCTTCAAAAAAAATAAAGGAGCATCCTTGACTATACAGAGTTCAAGGCCAGCCCTGGGCTATAGGAGAACTTGTTTCAAACAAACAAACAAACAAACCATTGGGTTTTACTATGTAGCCCTGGCTTACTTAGACTTCCCTAGGTAGACCAGACTGGAGTTGAACTCACAGAGCTCTGCCTGTCTCTGCTCTAAGTACTTGGACTGAAGGCATAATTTTTAATTTATGATGCCTTTTAAAAAAAGACTACATAAAAAAGATTATTTTAAAAAATTACTTATTTGTGTCTATGTGCATGTGTAGAGGCAGGCGGAAGCAGGCCTTCTCCCTGAAACAGGGGCTCATGGTCTCTCAGCTAGGCTGGGAGCCAACAAGCCCCAGAAGTCCTTCTGTCACTGACCCCTTGGGGCTGGGGTTGCAGGCACGAATGTGACACTCAGCTTGTTACGTAGGTGCTGGGATCTGAACTCTGGTCATCATGACTGAGTAATAAAATAAGAACTCTTTATCTTAACCACTGAGTTATCTTTCTGGGCCCTCTTTTTTTTTCCCCCAACCCGTGATCCTCCTGCCTCAGTTTCACCACACCCTGCTGAGGGTTAAACCTGGTGATAAACTATGATGATCTCAGTGAGATTGTGACTTACTTCCAATTTCTTTTCTAGGCTCATTTGGTTTCTTTCGGACCCATGGGAGAACCCACCAACTGCTGTTTCACACCCCTGGAGTGGGGTGAGGGAGGAGGAGGGCTCTGAGGTGAGGGAGGGTTTCGGTAACATTAACTTGAGCTCTGCTGGAGTGGAGGGCACGTGTGGCTGACAGGTGCTTGGGAGGGTGTGACTGCACGTGAAGGAGTGCTGATTAATGACCTGCTAGGACAGAGTCCTGGTGGACAGGCAGGTAGCAGCTGCTGGGTGACACAGGGCGGGGGCTGCCTGAAGCTCAGGAGGACTTTGGTGGTAGCTGTGGGGAGACCTGGGGCAACTCAGGAGCCGGAGGGAGGCTGCACTTGAGACTGCTGCTGGGCAAAGGGCGAATACCGATAATAGGAATGAGCTGGCTGTGTGACTCACTCAGGAGCTGAGGCAGGAGGACCACAGTTTAAAAAACAATAACAACACAAGTAAATGGGAATAAAAAGAACTTCCATGTGTTAGCACGCTGTAATTTATATAGACCTCTAAAACCTACTATTATTTGGTATATCATCTGGTCATCGAGATCAAACCTAAGGCTTCATGTGTGTTAGGCAGGAGCTCTACCACTGAGCCACACCCCAGCCCCTCACTGGGGGATTCTAGGCAGGTGACCACTGAGGCACATCTCCGATCCTCATCTGTTATTTTTATCTGATATTCATTTACAAAGAAACAGAGGCTCAGAGAAGTTAAAGAACTTGCTCCAGCCTGTACAGATGCACAAAGGGAGCCAGAGCCTCACTCTAGTTAGTTTTGGTGGCTGTGCATCACCGGGCTGGGCAGGCAGAGAACAGCTCTAGCCAATGACACTAAAATCATTTCCACACACCCAGTGGAACAAAGGCTGCTCCTGTACTGAGGAAGGGTCCTGACCACCATTAGATGCTGAGCCATGGGTTGGTCCTGAGAGGGTGTGGCTAACGTGGCTCATATTTAGTTTTGTCTTAGAGATGCACTGCATAGCTCAAACTAACCTCAAACTCAACAACACCCATGCCTCTGCCTCCTAAGGTACTGGGATCACAGGTGTGAAACCCACACCCAGTTTGGGTCTATTGTTCATCTGTAACCTTTCTTTCCCTGGAACAGGCTCTCCCATGTATCCCTGAGAAAGGAACTAGCTAGCCCACAGGGACAACCCCTGGACAGAGTGTAGGGTCTGGGAAGCAAAAGAGAGATACCACTGTCCACAGACTGCTCTGGAGCCATATTGGGGGCATGTGGGTTGACTGGAAAGCCATTTGATGACAATGGGGGAGAGCCTAATACAGGTCCTAAAGCAACTCTTCAGGGAGGACACAGAGGACACAGCCACATAGGGATGACAGACAGTTGGACCTCTACGCTCCCATGATCACCTTAGGACCCTCTCTGATTTCTAAGACAAAGTGGGG